CGACGTCCTGTTTTTTTCAATACGGCGTCCCCGGAAGTCGCGACTCTTCGCGGGACCAGCTTTTTATCCTGAGTTGTCTTCTGACGCTCCCAGGGGCCGGCGAGGGCCCCCAGGGGTCGAACATAGCGACGAACTTGCCGTCCTGATTTTTTTTACGACGCGAGCACGTCTGGAAGCAATGAGAACCAAAAACTCCCAGGGAGAGGTCTAGACCTTTTGGGAAGCCACGCTGTAGAGAACTGTTGCAACGTCGGCGGCCAGGGATGCGACACTCGCGGCCTGCGTGCTCGGGCCTGGGCCCCCCAATGCGCCCCCTGCTGGGATGACGGCGGGGGCTTCGGCAGGGGATCGGGGGGGCACGCGCGGAGGCCAAGGTGGCTCTGTCTGGTCCACCCTTCGGCGGTGGACAAACCTCTCTTTAGTAGACCTCCCCTTAGTGAAAACGGCCTGGGGCCGACACCGACGGACCTGGACCCGCAAAAATAACGGCCGCGACGCCCTCTCGCGAACCGAAAACGGCCAATTCCTTAATCGACGTGTCAGGGTAGGAGGTATGTCCACCCCCGAACCCTGGCGTCTAAGTGGGTTGCACACGCCCCAAGTGGCTTAGGGGGATCCGGGAACTCCTCAAAGTGGCACTCTGGCGAAGAGTCACTGCTGGGATCACGGCGGTGGTGATAGGCTATACATATGTATTCATATTGTGCATCCGATGATCTATCTAGGCCATCCTAATTTACATGTTGCTATCTCTGGGCGTAGCATCCGCAACCATTTGAGGTGGATACCCATCCGTGTCGCGGACAGTGCTCGACTGGACGCAACATGTTGTGTGCAGTCGAGCACTGCCTGCGCCGCTCCACCGCACTCAGCGCCGACGGCCGCGGGCAAGCGGCACGACGATGCTCCGAAGCTGACTTCGCGGGCCCGACCCGCGGTGTCGAACTTCTGCTCCGCGCGTCGCGGCGGCCCACGCGACACGCTGCGCCTATGGCAATTCGGCTGCTAGCGTGTTGGTTGTACGTCGTGCGACGGGGGGTCGGGAAAACAGCTCGGAACGTGGATGTCGGGGGCGGCCAAGAAGGGGGCGTCCAAGAGGGGGGGGGTGCAAATCGTTGCCGGCGGCAGGTGCGCTGCCCAGGGGGGGGGGGGGGGGGCAGGGACGCCCTGAAATGAGGAGAGGCGCCATGAAATCTGAGGAAAAATCATGGCCCACGCCATGATATCCACCCCCCCCAGTCTTGAGCAGGGACCGACCGTCCCGGCATTCCTGTAGTCCTACCACGAAATGTTCTTAGAACCCAAAACATGTTCTAAGAGCAGAAACACTGTTCTTAGAACGTAAGCCCGATGTGATAAAACAAGACAGTCCCAGCCAGAAGTGCTCGAAGAACCTTTCGTGGGAATCACAGAAGGTTCTTGGTCGGGCTCCAGGCGAGCGAGGACGCTTCGCCACTGCTTGAATCATGATATTCCCCCCCCCTAGTCACCACCCCCCTCTTGGCCGCCCCCCAAGGACGGCCAGCGGACGGGACGCTCCGCAGGGCGGGCCGCCGGGCCTGTCGTTGTCGGCGCGGAGCTCGTCGATGCCGCTGCGCAGGTGCTCCGCCCTCCACGACCCGGCGGCCCACTGCCAGGCATACCTCGGGGGGGGGGGGCGGCAAAAGCCTCCCCGGGGGTGAACAAAACCGGGGCCGTTTCGCCCCCGCGTTTTTTTCTGTTCCCCCCCCGCACCCTTGACCTCTCGCTGCCTTGCTCGCGCGCTGCACGGCACGCGCGCGGGGGCACCGCAGCCTTCTGGCCCCGAAGGGGACCTGGAGTCCGAAACGCGTCGCCAGCCTAAAAGTGGTTGAGATCGGTCATACGCCCAGGGCGGGGGGAGCCCTCGACGCCGGGCGACTTCGGGGAGGATCGAGGAGGGGCTCGAGGTCCCCGAGGTTCTGGCGTCGCACGTGTTTGAAGGGGCCCCAGGACACACAAATAAATACACACAAATAAAAAGATACCCCATGTTTTCCCCATATTTGTTTGGTTTTTGTCTTCCCCCCCACTTATACCCCTTATTTTCTGGGAAATCGACGATTAATTGTGTCTGTGTGTTTTCTCCCCTCCTGAGTGTTGTTCGCCCTCGGGGCGAGATCGCCCCATGTTTCGGGCCCCGGGGCCCTCGCAGATCGATCAAGCTCGAAACATGCAGCAGAGAGACGGAGAAATCAGCGCCCCTCAAACGGGGACTCCACTAACGGGTACTTTGGCCAGTGACCCAGCGAACCCAACCCTTCCCAATGCGGGCCACGCTGCACTGCCAGAAAGAGGCTCTAAAGTGGCAACTTTCAGCAAAATTGCAAAGTACCCGTTAGTAAGTACCCGTTACGGTGCCGTTGAAGAACGATCGGGTCTCAGGTGCCGGTCGCAGTGTTCGGCGATGTTGCGTCTGCTTCGCAGCATCGGATCTCAGGGAGGGGCTTGACTGCATGTGCTTTTCAAGCCGCTCAGGCTCCCAGCCTCGTCGAAACAGGATCCAGGACGCACAACGACCCGCCGGTCGGAAGAAGCGGGTAAAAACATCAGGTAGAAAAGGCGTTGGAAGTATATTGGGTCTCCGCCCACCCCCTGAAGAGGAGGAAGATGGAATACCGCCCGATCCTTGGAGTGGGAAGGTGCCTGAAGTAGATTGGGATTTGGGAATCCAGACAAGTCTACTTCCAACGACCGGCGTGTACCCCCAGGAAAGGGCTCGGGGCGTCGGATTGGGAACACCATGTCTGGGGATGCCTGGGCACGGGCTCAGGAGGACACGGAGCACTGGACATGTTGTCTCGCGGAGTCCAGGACCTGCGGGGGGCCTCGACGGCCTCGTCAGAAGATGCCTCGGAAAAAAAAGGGTTCCCCGGGACAGCCCCAGGGTCTAGAATTCGGTCGGGCATGTCCTCCTACAAGCGGACGTGGGAGGAAAAACCGAAAATAGCCAGAACAATTAATCAAACATAGAAAACACATGTTTAAAATTCGTCCCCAGACTATGCTTTGACTATTTTCGAACCTTCCCCCTGCAGAAGGACACGCCCGACTTACGTCTAGAACGAGGGCTCGCGGTGCGGCAAGCAGCACAGCAGAGACCGACTGAGGCAGGGCTTTTCTCGGACAGGGGGGGTGCTGTGACGGTGCTGCCGTGGGCCCTTCCTTCGCCGCCCCCCTCGAAAGCCAGGGTCCGTCAGCATCGAATCGGGACATCGATCGGGCCGGATCAGGACGCGCATCGGATCGGGCCGCATCGGCACGGAGCCAAGATCGGACCGAACCGGGCCAGCCGAGGTCGATATCGGATCGGGCCGTAGGGATCGAAATGGACCCCGGGAGGGGAGGGAGGGAACACAAAGCAACAGGTCGGAGACCTTCCCCCAGTGCCGGGCCACCCATGAACGCATGAAGAACGCCCCCCGCCCCCAACATGAGGATTTCTAGACCAATGGGACCGTCAAACGACGCGCGAACTGAACGCGGAAACTGCTCGATGGTCAGCCAACGACAACGCCGCGACACTCAATGCGAACGGCGCGGCGCTGCCGTGCTCATTGGCAGTCGAACTTGGCGTTTCCTTGTGCTGGCACGCGGTCAATGCCAAAAACCATTGTGGACATTCGCGCGCTCGTGCCAAGGCAAAAACCAATGGGCGCGTCGGCCCTTGGCGGCGATGGCAAGAGCCCCACGCGGCGCCCGGGGTCTGCCCGGCACGGGCGCGCTTCGAAAAGTTTAGATCCACCCAAGAGCAAAGTTGAGGCACCATGCGAAACAGTTCATATAAACTCCAGATGACATGAACATAATTGCTTCCGAAGCAGAAAGTCTCGTGCGGGAGAGCCCCGAACAGTTTATATAAACAGAAAAACGTGTTTATATAAACGCCCAAACAAACTTTATATTGGCCACGTTGCCTTAAGAGAAACGCTCCCGATCTAAACTTTTCCGCCGGCGGGTTCAGGAGGGGGCGACGGAGGCGGGCACGGGGGCACTCGGCTGGGCCAGCGGCGCTGCCGCGCGAGCGACATCGCCGCCATCGCCTCAAACTGCGAGCCGCGGCCGTGGCACGCGCCGCCCTGGGAACGCCGGCGCGGGCGCGGCCGCGTCGAGCGGGCCCAGGACGTCGCCGCGGGGCACCCCTGCGGCAGTTGGCAATGGTCTCGCTGACAGGGCGCCTACACTTACGCTCATTCGCCGGAAATGCAAAACGCTGACGCGTAAAATCCATAGTTGTGGGGGCTGGGGTCAGTTTCCCACTGTTCAACCCAGACGACCCAGGCCGCTGGGGAGCCACACTGCGAAAAAGACTGACCTTAAAGAGTTGACGTGTGTGAGCCTTTTTTTCAAGGTTTCGACATTGGGCGGAAGGAGGGGTGGGATCTGGCTCTGGACCTCTGCTTAATGCGACTGTTTGGAACTGTGCGTCCTATGGGGGAGACTCCACATGCTGGAACCAGGCGCCAAAAAACAGCCAAGATCTACTCCACGGGGGGGGAGGGGCGAGGGGCGAGGGCCCGCGTCGATCGACAAAACAGTGAATACAAAACGATCACATGCCTATGCCGTTGTTTTGCTCTCCAGACGTCGGAAGTCTGCGTCGCTGCCGTCGCCCTCCCTCTCCCGCGCGGCGGTAAGGCAGACCCCCGTGGCCGCGAGCACCTGCCCCGGCCACCGTGGCGGAGCCTGGGGCGGCCCGCATGCGGCCACGGGCGGCTTCTCTAGATCCGCCACTGTGCTGCGAGGCACGAGTTGGAGTGAAGCCGGTCTTCTTTCGGCTCTGGCCAGCTTACAGGGCAGTTTTTTATACATCGGATATTGAGACATATAGGATTTGTAATACATGATTAATGTATTAATCAATTCATGCATGAACTCCTCGTTGTTTTTAATACTGAACCCCTGCATGTTTAATACATGATCCGCACGCGGAGCATGCATGAAAAACGGCACTGTACTTGCATGGGGGAGAGGAGGTGGCCTGGCGAGGCGCAGAAGGGACTCCCGACTTCATGCAAGTCGGAGCTCACTTGCACGCCGTTTCGGCCCAGCACTGCTTCATGAGGCGGCGGTTGGAGGGGAGGGCACATTCCACGCAAATTAACTGGCTTGAACTGAATGGGAAACGCGCTCCGTGTCCTCAGGTCCTCTGTACGGCCAACATGCATAAGACGGGCGCGTGGCAAATATGCAGGGGCCTTGGAGGGCCATGCTGAGACTCTTTGCGAGTGGGGCGTGGCCAGCGAAAGCGGCCAAGGATGGGCCCAAGGGAGAGGATGCACGGGCAACCTTGGAAGGGTGCTTATATGCGCGTTGACTGTAATCCTCGGTCCTCAGGATGGAACAACTTAAGGGGCCCGGACTCCAACTGCCTGAATCTCCCGGGGCTGCTGGCCTCCCGGGCCCCACCGCGTCTTCTCGCGTGCCTTCGGCGGGCCCAAACAGGCCCCAGAACGGGCCAAGAGGGCCCCAAGAGAGGCACGGTGGCGGGATGCACCGAAGGCCGATCGACCCGCCGCCCCCCGTGGCCTGGCGTGCTAAATCCTATGCGGCTTGGTTTTGGGCTCTTTTTCCAAAAGACCTCCCCCTGGGGCTTCGGCCTAGCGCGCCGGCCACCCAGAAAGGTTCCCAAATTTCGTCTCCCGTTGCCCAGATCGCCTTTAAGACGGCCAAGATGGCCCAAGATGGCCTCCAAGGTACCTCCAAGACGCCTCCAAGACTGCCAAGACGGCCCGAAGAGAGCCCAAGATGGCGCCAAGATGCACTCAAGGCTGCCCAAGATGCACCCAAGACGGCCCATGCGCCGTAAGCGTCTTCGATCAAGGGGTGCGCGGCGTGCTCTTTGTTCTGACAGAAATCCCAAGCAAGGATTGATGCGCACCAGAAGGACTCGCAAAATTCCCAGATCGTCGGTCTTCCCGCTCCAAGCGGCCCCAAGATGGCCTCCAAGACGGTCAAGCTGGTCTCCAAGACGGCTACGATGGCCCCAAGAGGGTCCAAAATGGCCCCAAGATACCTCCAAGACGGGCCGAGATGCCCCCGAGATGGCCTCAAAATCACCCAAGAGGCCTCCAAGACGGGCCAAGAGGCCTCCTCCAAGAGGACCTCCAGGAAGGCCCGAAGATGCCAACATCATTTATTGCCGTTCGGTTTTTGAAGGATTCTGGCGTTTGCTCATTGTCCGCTTTCGGACGGCCCAAGACGGCCCCAGAGGCCAACAAGATGGCTCCCAAGGAGCGCCCAAGAGGCCTCTGAGATGGCCCCCCGACGGCCCAAGAGGCCCCCAAGACGGCCCAGGAGACCTCCAAGATGCCCAGGATGACCTCCGAGACGGCCCCGAAGCGCCCCAAGAGCCCCAAGTCGGCCCAGAGAGGCCCCAAAGACTGCTGCCGACGGCGTCAGACGGGCCAGGAAGGCCCTAAGACGGCCAAAGAGCTCCCTAAGGAACCCTCCAAGGGTTCCGGAGAGGCCTTAAGAAGCCCCCAAGAGGCCTCCAAGAGGCCTCCGGGACGCTCCAAGAAGGCCCCCAAAGTGCCCCAAGAAACTCCCAAGAGGCCTCCTCTTCATCCTCCGCTTTGAGGCCCAGGATAGAACAATTAGAAATGACATCATCTTGGCCCCCCAAAAAATCAAATAATCGTCGAAGAACTAGCAATGAACAATGTGTACTTCCCTTCCTCGTTTTCTTTCTCCCCCACGTGTTTCCCGAAGGGTCTCCACAACGGCTGGAAGGGGCACGTGGTCCGATAGCTCCGCCGCGCTCTGGCCGCACCGGTCGGCCACGCAGGCGCTTCCGAAAGGCAGGAGCTGGCGGTGGTTCGCCGCAGGCGTCCTCCATAGAAGAAAATCGTCATGCACGGCAGGCTTGCTGCCCGAACCCTCGAGCCCATCCCTGCCCCTGAGACTGACAAGCACAAGGCGATGTGACAGCCTCAGGGGTGGGACCCGAGGCGGCCCCGGCTGGAGGCCGAAGTCGATGGAGGGCGCCAGGATTGATGACTCAGTCCGCTGCGTGTCAGGGTTAGGTCGGGCATGTCCTCCTGCGGGCGGAGTCTTGGAAGAATCATGAAACATCAAACGAATATTTAGAAATCCAGCAATGGTCCCCAAACTACTTTATTTCGAGGCGGGGATTTATCCATATCCACCGCCTGGGAACCCGCGTCCTGGTGCCCCAGCGGGCGGTGGATATGGATATATTTCGGCCCCCGGGGGCCCGAATACGTCCAGATCCACCGCCTGCCGAGGCTCCGAGAAACTGACCCTCCAGGCGCTGGTCATGCAGAAACTCCCGCCCTGGATGTCTTTTATCTTCTTGCACATCCCTCCTGCAGAGTGACATGGCCCGACCCACGGCGTGGAGGCAGCGAGCGCACGGCCCGCCTCAGAGGCCCAGGACCCGGCTGCCCCCTCACGAGCGCCGGCCCGCGAGCGATCGGCTGTACGCAAGAGTGACCCTGGGTAAGAGTGACCTTTGGTGAGCGGCTTTCTGGGGGCCGCGGGGGGACCAAACTCAGGCGCGCAGGACGCTACTATCGCATCGCAATCAATTACGTATAGGGGGACCCCATCGTGCCCGCACCAAAGGTCACTCCGGCGAAAGGTCACTCTTACGCGTAGTTGCAGCGAGAGCCCCCCCTACGGCCCTCCGCGGCACGCCACCGGGCCTCGGCCTCGCCCGCCCGCGCCCGGCGCGGCGCCTACCCCGCGGGCTCCGCCGGCGCGTGCCAGTCCTGAGGAGGAGGAGGAGGAGGAGGAGGAGGAGGAGGAGGAGGAGGAGGAGGAGGAGGAGGAGGAGGAGGAGGAGGAGGAGGAGGAGGAGGAGGAGGAGGAGGAGGAGGAGGAGGAGGAGGAGGAGGAGGAGGAGGGAGCCGAGGGGGAGAATATAGGAAAGGGCGGCGGGGCTGTTCAGAAAGAAGCCCCCTGGCGCCTCCCGAGAGAAGTCACCCCGGAAACCTCTCCTCAGGAAGCCGGGGGGGGGCCTCCGCCGAGCCTTCCGAGGAGGCCCGTCTCCTTCTCCCTTCCCCCCCCTCGCCCGCCACCAAGGGAAACTGCACACGACGAGACATGCACGGAAACTTCCGGAGGCCCGCACGACTCTCTTGGCGGGGACTTCCGCGTCTTCGGAGGAGGCCCTTCTCCTTCTCCCTTCCCCCCCCTCGCCCGCCGCCGAGAAAAGAAGCGCACGAGACGTACACGGAAGCTTCTGGAGGTCCGCACGGATCTCTTGGCGGGGACTTCCGCGCCTTCTGAGAAGGCCCTTCTAGAGGCCTCCTTGATGGGGTCGGAATAGATGGGGTCGGAGGATCGCGCCGCATCGGCGATACATCGGTGATGCATCGCCGATGCATCGGCGATGCACTGGCGATGCATCGGCGACGTCGGCGATGCATCGGCGACGTCCGCGTGAAGCAAATCGGGCTCCGCATCGAGCCGCATCGGCGACGCATCGGCGATGCGGAGCGATCCTCCGACCTCATCTACTCCGACCCCATCTAGGAGGCCTAGAGTGAAGTCGGGCCTGTCTCCCAACAGGGGGATTTTCGACGACAAATAAAAGATACCCCAAACATAATAATAATAAATAATCCAAAATAATCTGGGGACTACTTTTTGAAGATGTTTTGACCCTTTTGGGGTATTTTTGGAGTATGCTTGATTTTTCTTTGAAAACACCCCTGTAGGGGGACGCGCCCGCCTTAAGCCCAGAGAGAAGGCCCTTCTCCCTCTCCCTTCTCGCGAACCGAAAACGGCCAATTCCTTCATCGACGTGTCAGGGCAGGAGGTCTGTCCACCCCCGACTTACCCCCCCTCGCCCGCCGCAGGGAGAGCAGAAGCGCACGAGACACGCGCGAGCTCTCTCGGAGGTCCGCGCTCGGATCCCTTGGCTCGGCGGCGGGCCCCCCCTCCGGGCGCGCGCCTCTGCCGCCGCCGCTCCGCGCGGCAGAGGCGCGCGGAGGAGGAGGAGGAGGAGGAGGAGGAGGAGGAGGAGGAGGAGGAGGAGGAGGAGGAGGAGGTGGAGGAGGGGAGGAGGAGGAGGGAGGAGGGAGGAGGAGGAGGAGGAGGGAGGAGGAGGAGGAGGAGGAGGAGGAGGAGGAGGAGGAGGAGGAGGAGGACGAGGAGAGGGGGTCCAGCGCCGCGCCGACGCCAGAACTCGGCGCGGACCTCCGCACGTCTTTGCTTCCCGACACGCCTCGCGCGCCCTGCACATGCCGCGGGCGCCAGGCCCTGAGGACCCCGGCGCTCCCCAGCAATCCCGCCTCGCGCTCTCGGGCTGGGCATCGCTCGAGGCAGAGCTCGGAGCAGGGCCAGCTGATCGAGACAGCGACAGCTCGAAACCGATCCCCCCAGACCCCTCCCGAGAGCCAGACACCTCAATGCTCCGACCTGCGTCCAACCGTGGCAACGGGGGCCCTGGGAAGTCCGACTTCTGCCGTCTCAGCTGACCCTCCTGCTCAAATAACCCGGGTGCCCCCGATATGGCCCGAGTGCCCCCGATGTGAGTCCCCCATGCAGAGATAAATACAGTTCGGGGCTTCGGGGGGCTAATCAACTTTTTGGCCCGTCGAGTCGCACGTGCGAATGTAAGGAGAGCACATAGAAGCTGAAAGGGTGAGAATCCGATGGCCCTGCCACGCGTTCGGGACTCGGGAACGCTGAACAAGTGAGAACCCCGTGGCCCTGCCACACGTTCCTGACTCGGGAGGGGCTGAGAAGGTGAGAATCCCATAGCCCTGCCACACGTTCGTGACGATGGAACGCTGACATTGTGAGAATCCTATAGCCTTGCCACACGTTCGTGTTTTAGGGAAGCTGACATGGTGAGAATCCAATAGCCCTGCCACACGTTCGTGGTGATGTTTCTGTTCAACACAAGAAGATCACATCTTCGATTCGCAACGTCCCCGGAGATAATGAAGTTCGGCCTCGCCGCCCCTCTCCCCCGACCAACTCTGCCGCAGACTCTGCCTTGGCCGGAGATAATCAAGACCGGGGGCTTAAGGGGGAGATGATGTATAATTATCGGGGGCATGGGGTTATGCAGAATCTTCTCCCCCTTCTTCTTCTTCTTCTCCTCCTCCTCCTCCTCCTCCTCCTCCTCCTCCTCCTCCTTCTCCTTACTACTATTATTATTATGATTATTCTCCTCTTGCTTCTTCGACACAGGCAGCCGAAGTCTTACTTTTCTCAATGCGGGGCCCCCAGAGGACCCAACCCCTTCCCGAGGGCCGGTTCCAGGTCCGGGGCCGCCGGGAGGCCGACCACGCCCCACGACCCTCCGCGATCATCGCTACTCTCTTCTTCCTCGCGCCGCCACGCAGGGGTCTGGGGAGGTCCGGCACCAGCTTCTCCCGCAGCGCCGACGGGCACGCCTTCCAGGGGTCCACATGCGAACCCTACCCCTATACCCCCCCACGATGTTTGAGGGGGAGGGTGGGGTTCACTTCGCTGGGGCGCTCCCGAACGAAGTGAACCCCACCCTCCCCCTCAGAAATCGTGGGGGGGTAGGGGTAGGGTTCGCATGGGGCCCCCTACCTTCGCCTCCCGCGGGGTCAGGTTGAAGAGGTCCCGGGGCAGCGCCGAGCCCTCCACGCGCGTGCCCTCGCGCCGGAGCTCGTCGAAGCACGGGTGGGCGCAGGCCTGCGGAGAGGGTGCCGCCAGGGAGCGCCCCCGGCCCAGGGCCAGAGCTCCGAGGCGGTGCTTCTGTGAGGAGTGTCGTGGCGGCTCCACCTCCACGTCGGCCCCCCGGGCCAAGGCCGGGCTCATGGCGACGTGGCTTGACGGTAATGCTGGGGACCAGGCTGTAGGAAATCGCGATCGCGAACCACTCAATACGCGAAGGGATCGCCAACGAAAAACGACACACTGGGTTGCAGAAAAGCACGTGCCACGCGTCCCCACAATACCAAAATTTCCATCGCCGTTACCTACATCGCCGTTCGCCCGTCTACTGCTGGGGCCGCTCTCAGGCCACGGGGGGCCTTCAGGAATGGATCCAGGGCGCAGAACTACCCCCTGGGGGAGGGGTCGTGAGCCCTGGGGCCGCGGATCGGGCAACAGGTGTCGGACGCCTGGGAGGTGGCCGCAGCTCCTCTCCAGAGCACCCCTCGCGAGGCAGGCGCCACAGCATGGCGCCCTGAGCATGGAATGTCTCTGCCAACCCCCGAACCTGGAGCGGCTGAATTCGCGCCTCCGGATCGTACTGGAGGAAGGCGGCGAGCAGGTCGATGAAGTTGAACCCGACGCCCTCGCGAAAGACCGCCCTCCAGCTGCACGGCTTGATCGCCGGGACCGAGAAGTTGAAGTACGCAGGGTTCATGGCCAGTATCTGGCGCCGAGACGGGGACCCGAGCACCTTGACGATCTCCACTAGCTGGTCCACGCCGCTCTCTCCTGGGGGCACAGAAGAGATTCCGCTACGGCGGCTCCACGGGCCTCTATATTATATATGTATATATGAATACATTTACATCTACATCTACATCTACATATACTGGGTTGTGTCCTGGCGAGACGAACCCAGCCGTGGCGACGAGGGCATGGCAGTGGTACCCGAAATCTGTTCCTCCGCCGATATCTCCAGGGAAGAGGGGCCGCCCGCGGATCATCTCCGCCAGGACGCAGCCGATGGACCACAGGTCCACCGCCGTCGTGTACTGCGTCGCCCCGAAGATCAGCTCGGGCGCACGGTAGTACCGCGAGCAGATGTAGGCCACCAGCGCCGGCCGGCCCTGCCCCAGCTTCGCCGCGGACCCAAAGTCGCAGAGCTTCAGCAGGTGGCCCCTGGACGCGTCTACCAGCAGGTTCTGTGGCTTGATGTCCCTGTGCACAACTCCTAGCGGGGGGCGGCCGGGTGCGTTGTGCATGCCAAGCCGCTGGGCCAGCCACGGATGTTGGCGCCTGGACGCCCCGGCTTCCCAAACATCCGACGCCGTGATTTCCCCCATTGCCCAAAAGTTGCTGCTGCGATTTTTTGCTCACGGCGCGAAGGTGTCAGGGTTCCCTGGGCGCGGGGGGCTGGAGCGCCCATGCACAGAACTCCATTGGCCGACTCACAGACGACGGGGTGTGCACCATCGAGCCCCTCCGAGGCTCCGCAGGCCCTGAGGTGGGCGAGCGCGCGACAGGCCTGGTATGTGTACAGCTGCACCAGGATGTCGGGCATCGGCAGCTTCTGCTTACCGTGCCGCTTCATCACGCAATAGACCGTCTCTGGAACGTACTCCATGACCATGTTCAGGTAGAGCTCGTCGTGAGACTCTCCGGAGGTGTAGAAGGCATGCCTCAGGGTCACGATGTTGGGGTGGCGCATCTTCTCCCACACCTGCAGCTCCCTGTTGCGGTAGCGGCGGTCCACGAACACCTTCTTGATGGCCACGGTCTCGTCCGTTTCGAGTATGTGCGCGGAGTAGACGATGCCGAACGTGCCGTTGCCGATCACGCGCTCCGCGTTGTAGGTGCACGGCGCCTCCTGCTCGTCGCTGGCCAGCTGCTCCTCTTGCAGCTCCAGCTCCTTTGGAGCAGCGATGGGGGACCAGCTCCAAGGGGGAACACAGCGACCTGGCACCAGCGACACATCGCCGACGGACTGGCGATAGGCACCCGACGGCGAAGCCACACGATCCTGTGCGGGGAGGGCTACATATCAGGCCCTTATCGGCGACGATCGTTGGGTGATTGGGGACCGCTGCGTGCCCCGCCCCCCCCCCCCCCCCGAGAATACGGTTAAGCCGGGCCTGTCCCCCTGCAGGGGGATTTTGGAGGAAAAATCAAGAAATTGCAAAACAAATCCCAAATATTCAAACAATAATATAAAAAAAACAAACAAAATCCCCAGACTAATTTTTTACTGTTTTTGAATATTCCTCCCTGGCCATCGCTCGGACGTCAATTTTCTGCTTTTTGTTTTGGTTTCGTGCGTGTTTTTGTTCGCCAAGTGATCGAGGATGCTCCTCGATGGTCCTCGCCGAAGGAAAGATGCACACGTCCGAGCGATGTCAAGCTCCTGTAGAGGGACAGGCCCGACTCAAGAATACGGTCGGGAACTTTTGGATAGCGTGCGTCGGCGGCAGCCCTGGCGACACAGCCGTGCCGTGCCCGACGAGCGGCCAGCACACGGCGCTCCGCTCCGCGGGGCGGGAGGGCGGGGAGAGGCTCAGGGCGAGGAGGAGGAGGAGGAGGAGGAGGAGGAGGAGGAGGAGGAGGAGGATCGCTCGCGTGCCGCGCAGAGGCTTGGCGGGCCTGCGCCCAGAGCTCCCCACCGCATCCCCCCCTTCAGATTCGCGTTGCACCTGGGCTCCCTCGCGCCCTCCTCTGCTCGGGCGCCCTCTCCCGCCAGGGCCGCGCCGCCGGGGAGGCCCTGCGGAGGCCGGGCCGGCCCCTGCGGCACGAGCTGCGGCTGCTGCGCCTCGCAGGCAGCGAGCATCTCCGCATCCGCGCCCTCGCGGCCTGGCCTCCGGGGCGCGATTTTTCTCCAGGTGCGCGGCCGTCGTGCAGACGCACGTTCCGCGCGGAGCGCTCGTGAGGAGCGGCGCCCTGCACGCGCGGGGGAACGGCCCAAGGGGCCAGGCCCGTGAGGCCGCGGATGCGGATCTGCCCCTCGCCCAGGAGAGTGCCCGCAGCGGCGGCTGCGCCACCGCCGCCGCCGGCGGCTGCCCCAGCTGCGCGCCCAGCGGCCGGGTGCCCAGCGCGGGGGACGACAGCAGCTGCGCCTCCGCCGCGGGGTCCCGGCGCGGCTCCGCCGCCGCGAAGCGCGCGGAGGCCGCCGCGGCCCCCGCCGGCGCGGCGCCGGCAGCGAGGGCGCCGCTGTGCCGGCGCGCCAGCGGCTGCGGGGCCATGCCCGCGAGGGCAACCGCCGCCATGGCCTCGGCCGCCACCTCCAGGTTGCGCAGGCCCAGACACCGCGGCGCCGCGGACGAGAACAACAATGTACTGGGGCGGCCGGACTGTCCCCAGCCCTGAAGGCCTCTGGAGGCCGGCTTCGGGCCGCGCGGCCGTCAGGCCACGACTGGGACAGAGCACCAGCTCAGGGGGAGGGGTCGAGAGGCCCGAGGTTCAAGGCGGTGTCGGAATCTTCGGGCCGTGGGGCCGCCAGGGAACGACCGGGACAAAACACTGCACTGGCCCCGAGACAGGGGCCGAGATGCTCGAGGCCCAGGCGTCGAGCAAAAGTCCCAGCGCCGGATGTCTGCGGATGGGCACGCGGGGGCGGGGCTTGGGCGCGCCCGCTGGGGGTCTGGCCCCTCGAGCAGGAAGGGTCGGCGATGGGCGCAGGGCTGCTGTGAAGCCTCCTGGGGGGGGGGCGAGTCGTCCGGCGGCCGCCCCGTCTCTTCTGCCCTGCCCTGCTCTCCCGCCCGCTCCGATCCACTCCACTTCCCCCTGCTCCTCCTCCTCCTCCTCCTCCTCCTCCTCCTCCTCCTCCTCCTTCTCCTCCTCCTCCTCCTCCTCCCTTTCATCCCCCTCCTCCTCCTCCTCCTCCTCCTCCTCCTGCTCCTCCTCCTCCTCATCCCCGTCCTCCTCCTCCCTCTCCTCCTCCTCCCCAGACATCCGACGTCCCGATGTTCAACGGCGAGGCTCCACGGAGGTCTGGGGTCCGGCTTTCCATGCTGAGTCGCTCCTTGACGGTCCAGGGGCCCGCTGGGCGGCCCAAAAGAGGCGGATGATTTCCAACACCTTCCATGGTGACGTCTCTGCGCGACGCGAGGATGCCTCGGCTCTCCCAATCCTTCTCCTTGTCTCCGTCCTCGTCCTCCTGCTCTGCCTCATCAGCTTCCTCCTCTCAGGCCACGTAAGTCCAGACGGAGCAGGCCCATACGGAGACAGAGCACTCCGTGTGGGCTTCACTCCGTAGGGACCATACCTCCTGTTAGAAGAGGCGAAGCCTGAATGGAGCATGCCCATACGGAGACCGAGTACTCCGTGTGGCCTCCCTCCGTATGGACTTTGTCCCCGTTTGGACTTAGCCTCCCGCGCCGCGGCAGA